TGTTAATACATACTCGTCAGCAAGTTTAGGACAACCAACACCATGGCATCAAAGACACGGCAAAACGACAACTTCATTCTTTGTTTTTTTTTTTTATATAATCAAATCATTATTTGGTTTTAGTTTCTTTTTCTCTTTCTTTTTCTCTTCCTTTCCGGAAAAAAAAAAAGGAATTTTTTTTTCTGAACGTGGCGAACGACAAAAAAACAGTTCGGTTCGAAGAGGGAGGGGGCAAAAAAAAAAGGAGAAAAAAAAAAAGGGGGCAGTAAATCAGCAACAAAAAGGGGGGGGGAAAAAAGGGGAAAAAAAAAAAAAAAAAAAAAAAAAAAAGAAGTGTACCAATGAAGTATGTACGTTGACGTACTTGTCACTTCCGCGAACCTTTTGATGATGGACTTCAACGGGAAAAAAAAATAAAAAAAAATAGGACGCACAGTTGCGATTGGAGGAGCTCGGCGTCTAGACCGCGACCGACAAATCTGATTGGAGGAGGTCAATATGATCAAATTCCTTTTTTTTTTTTTTTTTTTTTCAATGATCTAATCTTACCAATGATAGATGCAAAAAGTTAACAGTCATTAACGGGGGTAGATAAACATTAAAGACCTCTCAAACAAATAAATTAATTAATTAATTAATTAATTAGAAAACCCGTTTTTGAAATATAGCTGACGCATCGGGGCTACGGGAAATTGTTTTTTTTTGCATTCCAGCTGCAGGCTCAGATTCGGGGTCAAGTTTGCAATCAGGTTTGAAATAGCGGTTCACGATCGGGAGCCCGGTGCGCCAAAGAAACTTTAAGTTTGAGGGGGGGGGGCGGGTATAACACTCGGTCGATGCTGCGAGAGCTGGCAGGTAAAAGCGAACCACCGTGGCTGGCCGACAGCGGGCGGACACGTGAGCGGGAAGCTAGCGGAGAGCAGGGGGAACAATTAGATAGCTGACGGACAACTGGCGGACACACGTGGAGCGGAAAGCAAACGGAGAGCTGGGCGGGAAACAAACAAGCCCAGAGCTGCAGGAAACATTGGATAGCCGACGGACAACTGGTGGACACACGTCGAGGGGAAAGCTAGCGGAGAGATGGGCGGGAAACGAACAAGCGCAGATCTGGAGGAACAATTGAATAGCTGACGGACAACTGGCGGACACACGTCGGGGCGAAAGCTAGCGGAGAGCTGGGCGGGAAACTGGCGAAGAGCTGCAGCCTGCAGGAACTATTGGATAGCTGACGGACAACCGGCGGACACACGTGAGGGGGAAAGCTAGCGGAGAGGAGAACTGAGCGGGAAGCGAGCGGAGAGGAGAGCTGTGCGTGAAACTGTCGGTAGCGCCAAGCTGAAGGAACTATTGAATAGCTGACGGACAACTGGACTACGACAACTTATCGAGCTGGCGGGCGGGCAACTGGCGGGTGATCGGTCGGAGCCCACAGTCATATGTTGGGCTACTAACGTGAGCTGGCGGACAGCTGGCGCATTCCAGACAGATTTGCTTTCCTTTGCTGATCTTTCTATCTATCTTTACCTATCTTCTTCTCTCTCTTATCTATCTATCTATTTATCTATCTATCGATCGATCTATCTATCTATATATTTATCTATCTATCGATCTATCTTGTCTTTCTATCTTATGAATACTTCTACCTATCCTAGGTTTTGAACCTGCGACCTTCACAACTCAGAAGGTCGTTGCTTTATCTTTCCATGTATCTACTCTATCTTTCTAGTACTTATAATTTATCTTTCTAGTACTTATCTTCTCTTATCTTATGATCTTAGATCTTCCATTTATTTATCTTACGCGCGCTCCCCACTTTGACTTTTCCAAAGTTTTGTTTTCTCTTACTGATGCTACAATCGTATTGCCGCTGGAGTAGACCAAGCTAGCTCTGCAAGTCCTCTAATGCATATAACAATTCCTACTCCTAGTATGTAAATCCTTTTTTCCCCCCCCGGCAAAAGGGGAGCAGGCAGCGCAAAACGCGGTCGGTACGTACAGAGCGCAGGCTGATAAATGATCGCGGTAGCCTTCTTTTCAGGGATGGACGCTCAACGAGACGAACGAGGATAGCTGTGAGAGTCCAGTGAGAGTCCTGCCCGTTCACACCGTTGACGTAGTGCCTGCCGGTGGGCAATGTGAACGACCGATTGCTACGATTACAGACATCACAAGTCTCTTCTTCTTAAGTGGGGTCTTAAGTGAGTCTTAAGTGGGTCTCAAGTGAGTCTTAAGTGGGTCTTAAGTGGGTCTTAAGTGGGTCTAGTTTCGTAAAATCAGCCCCTTCACTCCCTTGCACAAACTGGAAGAACGAAGGCTCACGGGAATCACATCAAGTCTCTTCTTAACTGGGGTCTTTAGTGAGTCTTAAGTGGGTCTCAAGTGAGTCTTCAGTGGGTATTAAGAGGGTCTAGTTGAGTAAAACCAGCCCCTTCACTCCCTTGCACAAACTGGAAGAACGAAGGCTCACGGGAATCACATCAAGTCTCTTCTTAASTGGGGTCTTTAGTGAGTCTTAAGTGGGTCTCAAGTGAGTCTTCAGTGGGTATTAAGAGGGTCTAGTTGAGTAAAACCAGCCCCTTTACTCCCTTGCACAAACTGGAAGAACGAAGGCTCACGGGAATCACGTCAAGTCTCTTCTTAAGTGGGGTCTTTAGTGAGTCTTAAGTGGGTCTCTAGCGAGTCTTAAGTGGGTCTCAAGTGAGTCTTCAGTGGGTCTTAAGTGGGTCTTAAGTGGGTCTAGTTGAGTAAAACCAGCCCCTTTACTCCCTTGCAGAAACTGAAAGAACGACGGCTCACGGGAATCACATCAGCTCCTGCTTCGCTTTTACTTAGTTATTTCAGAAGAGCTGACTTTCCCGTTGGCAGACAACCAAGGCTAACGGCTAACCCCTCCCCTCTCCCCCCCCCTCGGATCACATCATCTGCTCACGTTTCTACTTATCACTTCCTATTGATTATTCCACATAGATAGGTTACATGCGCGCTTCTTAACTCACTCGCAAGTAACTCTACTCTGGTCATATGCCTACGTGTGCACATTTCCTCCCTTGAAGTCTAAACCCTCGAATCACTACAGTAAGTTGTTTTGGACGAACTGACGTGCTGCTCCCCACGAATAGATTGGAGCATTTGTAGAAAAAAAAAAAAAGAAAAAAAAAAGACGTGAGCATCACGGTGATCCAGCCACAGGCATCATGATACACAGTCAGTGAGCCCCTCCTTGTAGCGCTAGCTATAGCAGATCAATCGCCAGCAAGCTGCAAAACCCTTCGTCTTCAGCACCCCTTTGTCGTTACGTTCACCCCCACCCCCCTCTAGAGCAGCTGCCGCTACCATCATCCTCACCATCGCCACCACCACCTCTCCAAAACCATCGTCACCATCGCCAGACCTTCGACACCATCGCTACCGTCCTCACGTCTCCGTCATCGTCCTCATCATCATCGACATCAGCTATACGACCGCTTGTATCAAAATTTTCTAAAATTATAAGAACCAAGTCAGAAAAGAAAAAGGGTGAAGAAGCGAAATCCGGCCTGCTTGGCTGCATTGAATACCCCCGACGACATGCAGCGCGTCGCCTGGCGCGCAAATTGCATGCACGCAGCACACTCCGCGCAGAAAACGAACGGCACAGAGCGGGACATGCCCGTGCAACGACAGGGAGCGTGCGGCGAATGTTCTGCTGCGCGACCTGCAAGTGCTAGCCACACACGTAGGCCATTCATCACGGCACCCTTGCACCAGCAGTTTCCATCCGAAATGTATATGACCGCAATCGCGGTCACTTTCGGATGAATGAACCTGACACGTCCCGAGGTTAATAGAAAAAGTCCATTGCCGTCGACGGCCTCGCTGCACTCACCCAACCTGACACGTCCCGAGGTTAATAGAAAAAGTCCATTGCCGTCGACGGCCTCGCTGCACTCACCCACCCCGCTCCTCTGACATTTAGGGGCGGACCCCACAGGGCCGGCGGCAAGCATACATATTTGTTTGTTTTTTTTTTTGTTTTTTTTTTCCCTTTTTTTAAAGGAATGCATAGATTTAAAAGCACAAGTCCAAATTGAGGCCGGGAAAACCTCGACATTTCAACCCGGAGGAAAAACTGGGGCCATTACCCAGCTTACGCTATAGCTGGAAACCGGGTCCAGCGTCCCATTTGAGCATCCTTTTTCAAAAAAAGCCGCAACTGGACAAAGAAAGATGCAACGAGGAACAAAGGAAGCAAACTTAAAAAAGGAACTATCTAAACAAATGAGGAATCTGAGTCCTTCGTCAACAGGGGACCACAGTCGGCGAAAGCCATTCCGCCAAGAATAATTTCCCTTCTGCTGAGACGGACGCAAACTTCTCTTTTTCCGCCCATGCCTTGATGAACCACTGG